TGAATAGTTGAGGACAGAAAGGTAGTAAATGCAAGCATCGTAGAAGATGGGATCGCATTTTCAAAAGTCTAGCTGGTGGATAGCCAGCTGGAATTAAACCCGGAAGATCGCGCTGCCAGTTATGCAACCCCCAAGTGTAGAACCCATGCCTCCTCTTGTAAATGATGATCCGCAAACCGTTCCCGAATAAATTCTTCATCGTGCACAGTCTTTGAGATACCATGCAACCTGGTTTTATGTCCAAGCCAGTCCACACGCATGATGTAGTCCCGCCCATATTCGTGATCGGTGTGATGATGCCTTTGGCGATTACGACGATGAGCCTGGGACGCTCGTTCTCGATCATCAGGTGTGGCAATCCACCACTCTCCTTCCGTGAGAAGAGTTTGCAGGTACTTATAGATGTGATGCAGGATGTCATGAACAGTTATTATATGATGTTCCTATGAGATTGAGATCGTATCATTACTTGAGCTAGGCGGTGTAGCAGAGGCATCAGACTTACCTGGATGATGATCTCCCAAGGAAAATCTCGCGAAATGAGCCTCATTTTTCGAGCTGGGGGCTCAACAGCTGGTCGGGTCCAGATATCATGTAACGATGCCCCATGTGGGAGGGTTGATATGGAGGCTCTATCAGGGTTGTCACGGACGTCCCACAGAACATGCCGCGGCTCCGTTCCGTGAACAACTTCCTGAAGGACAAGAGGGTGGGTTGGGTAATCGGGGTAGTGAGGGTACGATAGTGGGGCATAGTAAGCGTCCCCGTCGTCGGAGTATTCAGAGGCTTCTATGAGACGAGCGGGGTGTGGGGGAGTCGTAGCTTGTGGAGAGCAATGATGGTTAGTTCAACAACGAATCAAGGATCAAGGCGAATCGAACTTACAATGGTAATGGGGGTGATGATTATATCCATTCGCAGCGTAGTACTGGACAGTTGAGGAATATGGATGAGGAATAGGTATAGTATAAGGGTTGCTGTAAGGTGGATTCAATGCCACCGGCACAAACGCCACGGGACACTGCATAAGCACTTTTGGTTGGAATCAAGAATATAAGGGGAGCTTTGGAGGGGATGGGTGATGAAAGTAAAAGCGCTTCCTTGACTGGTTTTATAGTCTAGAGGTGTAGAGAGAAACGCGGAAGTCAGTGTGGTTAACGAACCGGTTTGCGGTAAGGGAGTTCACCGTACGGACCATGATACGAGATGACTCTTTGAATAGCAGTCATATGATGGATATATCATGTCTATTTGCTTAGTGATATAGCTTGCAGGGAAGAACGGAATCGCAGTGCAAAAGTCTTCAATGATTGGTGGAATTGAGAGGATTTCCTTTTCCGGCAATCACGTCCTGCCTCAAGCAACGATCACGGTTTTTGTTATGGTAGCCAAAATTCCTCGTACCTATGTGCTCGTTGTGGTGAGTAAGTGGATTACAGCTTCATGGTGGTAGTAATCCCACCTTTGATTGTCATCCAGAAGCAGAGTTCACGTGAATGATATCCGCCACTGTTCTAGGACTGCATCGAAGTCGAAATGGAATAGCAGAGTGATCAGCTGGGCGTTAACATTAGGAAAGTGTAGACGTGGCTCTGTGATGGTAGAAACGCCCATCATTCGGGTCGATTTCACCTTGACGGAGATCAGCCCAGCCCCTAAGGTGTGTTTATTTTTCTGGCAATTCTTTTGACAGCGCTTATCGTCAGCACTCGGCTCGATAAGCATGAGAATTGCACCACACCTTCAATTTGCGTTATCCCGTGACAGAAATCACCGTACAACATGTCAGCGTATGTGTCGCATCACAGGACCACGGCGCACTACAAGGCACTCCATCGACAAGTGAAAAGCTATT